TAGGGTTTTAGGCGTTTTAGGCGTTTTAGGGTTTAGGGTTTAGGGGTTTGGGGTTTTAGGGTTTAGGGTTTTAGGGTTTAGGGGCCTTAAACATTTGAATAGGGCTTTGGGGTATATTGCATACTTAAAGTCTAATAAGCCTTATTGATTTGAATGGGGTTTTGGGGCCATTAGACTTTAGTTACAATCGAGAACCCCCAAAACCCTATTCTAGCTTAAGTCGGGGCTTGTGGGCTTTGTTTCCCCTCGAAACCCTACCCGACCTAGCCGCTAAACTGGTGAGCCCCCACGCCGTAAACTTCGAGACCCCTTAAACTCCAAACCCCAAGTTATGACTGTGTTCGAAGGCATTTGCAGATTGCGGTCTTCAGCGTTCAATGCCCAGCAGATATCCCGGCTGCGCTCAAGGCAGCCTCCGTGGTGGTGTTGCTGAGGCTTTTCTGATCTTTGAGACGTGCCCTAAGCCCTAAACCCTACATCCTTGTACCCTGAACCCTAAACCTTTTAAAGCCCCAAAACCAGGACGCAAGATGCTAAAGCCCCCAAAACCCAGAGCCAAAAGCCTGAACTCTGAACTTCGGTCCCTAGACCTCCTTAACCCTCAACCCTAAGCCCTAAACCCCCTCAGCCCTCCACACCCCAAACCCCTAAACCCTAAAACCCTAAAGCCCCAAACCCCTAAACCCTGAAACCCCAAACCCCTAAACCCCAAAACCCCAAAACCCCAAAACCCTAGCCTCTAAAACCCCCAAAACCTAAAACCCCAACCTCTAAAACCCCCAAAGCCTAAAACCCCAAACCCCCTAAAACCCCTAAACCCCTAAACCCCAAAACCCTACAACCCCTAAACCCCAAACCCCTAAAGCCCTAGAAGCCTAGTCTACTTATTCAGGCCCCTTCAAACCCTAAAACCCTGAAACCCTAAAACCCCAAACGCCTAACCCCTAAACCCTAAAACCCCATTCTAAATTATTCAGGCCCCTAAAAAAATGACATCTTCTCTAAACACCAAAACCCTAGAGCCCTAAACCCTAAACCCTAAACCCCTAAACCGTAAAACCCCATTCTAATTATTCGGGCCCATTAAGAAAAATGACATCTGAGGAGTCGGGGAGCTCTCCAAGATGCCACCTTCGCGCAGCTGGCGCTCACCATCCGCCCCTTGGTTCGGTGGGCTTCTGTGAAGATTTTGGGATTTCCTAAACCCCAAACCCTANNCCTAAACTCCTTAACCCTAAACTCCTTAACCCTAAACTCTGAACCCCTGAACCCCTAAACCCTAAACCCCTAAACCCCTAAACCCCCGAACCCCTAAGCCCTGAACGGCTAAGCCCTAAACCCCTGATCTAATGGGTCCTTGGACTGGGATACACTGTTTTCAGGGCAGGGTTGATATGACTATGTTCCGACACTCTAATTGGCTCCCTAGGGTTGGGAGTGCCTGGGCGTTGAGGGTTTCAGGGATTTGGGTTCTTAGGCTTAGAGAAGAGCCGATCCCGCTGCAAGATTCTGGGTTTGAGGTTTCGGGGTTTAGAGTTTAGGATAGTTTAGGGTCTCGGGTTTAGGAGGGTCAACGGGAGGCTTTACTTTGCTACCGCACAGTCGCTGATCATATTCTAGCCTTCGTGTTGAGCTGTCAAGGCTTGGGTCCTCACAGCTTTAGGGTCTATGCTTTGTGGTAAATGTATTGAGGACGTGGGGAAGGATTGGAGGTTTCTAGGCTCTGGCTATGGGGCCTCCAACGCAAAACCCTCCAGCATAAACCCTAAACCCAAATAGCTCTGTTCCAGAAATGCCTCATGGCATTCGTTGCAACCCTGATTTCTTTCTGCCTGTGCTCCAGTCTAGCAGAATCCGGATCCAGCAATCCCCCTAAAGCCCCTAGCCTAAACCCTAAACCCTCAACCCTAAACCCTAAACCCCAAACCCTAAACCCTAAAGCCTAAACCCTCAGTCCTAAACCGTAGAAACCGTGGAGGAAAAGAAGGGATCGAGTTCGTGCCCGTGAACGATGGCTCCTTCCAGTTCCCTTCGCCAGAGTTCTACCGAAAGGTGCTGGGAATTCCCGGGTTGGGAGTCATTCTTTTCAGTGCCTTGAGGCCCTTGGGGGTTGCTAATTACCGGAACAGGGTGGTAGATGCAAAGAGGTTTGGTAGTGTATGCAAAGAGTTTCCGAAAGCGCGGCTCCAGCTGTGGGGCGGTGCATGTGTTGTGCTCGCATCTTATTATTTGCAGAGAATCCGTGTGGCAGTGTTTTTCCAGGATAGCCGGATTCTCGAAACGGATGTGGGGGAAAGGATTTTGGGCTTCCGCCTGCATCGCGGCAGAAAAAGCGGAGAAGCATAAGCGCCGTGCTACTGAAACGCGCCAGTACTTGGGGCAAGGCATTGTGTCTGCCCTCCAGCAGTACTTGGGCGAAAGCACTCTGGTCGCGCCCTGAATCCCGCCAGTGCTTGCGGGAAGGCATTTCGGCCAGTGGTCCGGAAAACTCCCTTTTGGTCCTCGAGCATCTGGCTGGTGTCTGTACTTTCTGTGTACGGCCATGATGGTAACCCCAGATCCAACGCATCGAAATCCTAGATCTCCGAAATCCCCTGAACCCAAAACCCCAAATAATTCCCGCATTCAGGTGGAAGGAGGGGACATCGCGATCGCCGGATTGGCGATCGAAGTGGGCCCCAGTTTAGCCAAAGCTTATCAGGCCTGTTCACCTGGTTCTTTGTTTAGGGTTAGGCTTCAGGGTTCCTGGTTCCGGGTTTGAGTCTGGAGTACGATTTAGGGTTCAGGGCTTGTGATGCCATGTGTTGCCGTTAGTGACAAGTATCCATTGCTGCAATACTACCAGAGGGACGCCTGGGTCCTTTGCCACCTTTTAACTATGACGAACCTGGTACGAGGGCTGGGAGGGTCACGGCGCCGCCTGCCAGTATGACTGCGGCTGTAGCCAGAACTTGGCTGCTGTCTTTGAGATGGTGATGACGATGATGATGCTGATCCTCCTCCTCATCCTTCTCCTCTCCCGCTTCTTCCTCCTCCTCATCCTCCTCCTCTCCCGCCTCCTCCTCCTCATCGTCCTCCTCCTCCTCCTCATCATCATCATGATCATCGTCACCATCATCATCATCATAATCATCATCATCATCGTCATCATCATCATCATCAGCATCATCATCATCAGCATCATCATCAGCATCATCATCATCATGATCTCCACCACCATCATCATTAAAACCGCCGCCGCCGCCACCGCCACCGCCACCGCCACCCCCACCACCACCACCACCAGCAGCAGCAGCAGCAGCAGCAGCAGCAGCAGCGGCATGAGCAGCAGCAGACGCAGCAGCAGCAGCACGACGGCCGAAAAGTTCTACGAAAGCGGTTTCTTTGATGTATCCTTGTCTAGAGTCTAGAGTTCTTTTTTTAGTGGTTTTGATCGCGGCGACTGCTTGCAAGGCCATACTTTCAATCCTCGCCTTGCCCTTCGCTCCACATGGATCGAGTGGTATCCTGGACAGGCTCGACACAGACTCTGTTCAGCGTTGAAATCCTCAGGATTGAAGGGCTTATGCGTTTGTTGGAAGTCTGTATATACTCCATGCAAAACAAAAGCCCGAGCCGCCCGAAGCATTAAGCAGTCGGTCTAATCATCTTGAAAACCAACGCCCCAATCCTCGAAGCCCACCTTTACAATGCCCGAACGAAGTTGTCCACGGTGCTCAGCGGTGTCGACAGCCCTTAGCGCTGAGACCGTGCAGAAACACCAAACCGAAATGCCGTGAGCCCCAAAGCCCTAAATCCGAAATGCCGACAAGTCGAGTCTGCTGCACCAGTGTGGAGCATGTGCTGATCTCTCTTGCATCTGGGAACATGGCCTTCCAAAGCCAGAATGTTCTCTAATTTCACACCCCCTGGTCCCCCCACACCCAAATACCCTAAAGCCCTGAATCTCAAGAGACGAGGCAAGTCGCCCAGATCTGCCAGAGGTTTCGCAGCATGGAGGATTCGCCACAGAAAAGGCCAGATGCAGTTACTTGCAGTACGCATACTTATAAGAACAATAATAAGAACAACAATAATCATAAAAGTCATAAAGATATAAACGATAATGACAACATTTTGAACGTGGACTTTGGTAGCTTGCTTTCTCGAATATTCGACCGGCAGAGACGTAAGTGGTTACTCGACATCGGATTCTGTGACAACTTGCCTGGCATGTCTGCGTCTCGTACATTTGTCCTGTGCTGAGACACCCATTGAGGATGCCGAGCATGGATTCGCTTCACATATGTGCCTTCTGCCATCCCTCCCGTATCTTGTGTTTCAGCGGTGACCTGCATAGTTATTGGCACCAAGTCCCAAGAGTATAGTGACAACACCAATCTCCTCCTGAATCAGATCAGTGATCGTCGCACCGCCATGATATCCGTTCTTTTCTTCCAACCATCTGTGTCTCTCTTTCTCTCTCTTTCTTTCTTTCTTTCTTTCTTTCTCTATCTATCTATCTATCTTTCTTTCTCTCTCTCTCTCTCTCTCTCTCTCTCTCTTCCACCGGCTTAACATGTTTCTATATACAAACACACAAACAAATACATATAGACACACACACACACACATGTACGTGTGTGTTGCTTTGGTTTTGACCTGTATGCTTGGCCTAATGTTCATATATGTTCATCATCACAGCCAACAGTGCCATCATCACATCATCATCAGCACCGTCACTGTTCAGAGTCGCTTTAGTTTTTGCCTTGTTATATCTAGTGGTGCTGGAGGTCATCGTCCGTCGTTGTCGTCGTGGTCGTGATGATCGTCGCCGTGCTGTCGTCGTGTCGAAGTGGTGGTGGTCGTCGTCATCCTTGTCGATTGTCGTCGTCTGCGGCTCTGTTTATTCAGATGATCTTGCTTTGATTTCTGTTCATTGACAGGATGAAGGTGCTCGTGCTGTAGCATGATGGTGGTGCGGGCGACGATGTTGACGCTGCCGATTATGATGCCCATGCTGATGGTTACGATTCCATCTTGGCGATGAAGGAGGAGAGCAGTGTTCGGATTTCGCTCTCGCCATGCTAGTTTTCCTCCCTGCTATCTGCACCAGTGGCATGTGACTGTCACTGTTTCTTTCCTCCTGGCCGCCGCTGCTGCTGCTGCTGCTCCTGCTGCTGCCGCTGCTGATGTTAATACCCATTCTTGCCATGGGCTCTGTCGACTTTGAGCTAGCTTTGCTGGTACTCGCATGTGTTTTGACAGGCATAGCCCGCAGCTCGCGGAGGGCGCGACGCAGGGTGAATCTTCAGAGGCTTTGCAGAGTTCGCCGTAGTAATATCACGAGCGCTTAGGCATCCGAGCTTCAACTTTGCAATGATTGCTGGTGCCAGTAGGTACCACTACTGTTTTGATCATGGCTGTTAGCACTGTTATGACTTTGTGCCTAGTTTTATGATTAATCTGTGATGCATCTTCGCACCACCCCCGGTCCTTTCAATGTCCTGTCCACCGGGTCTACTGGCAGGTCTTTACTCCATCTCCTGCATCCGCAGACACCGATGACATGAGCTCCAGTGATGATGATGCTCTGTGTGTGTGATCGTGGATGGTTGTTTATCGAGGGTTTTGGGAGTAGCCCATGGAACGTAGAAGAACTCTCGTTGCAGATTGTTAGCTTGTTGGAGACCGTTTGTTCATGGTTTTGCTTCGATGGGCAGAAGCACATGCACCTTCAAGAAGAGGTCCAATTCGTGATTGCTATGGCCAGTGGGGTCGAAGACCCCGTTTTCCCGTGGCCGCATTAGGGGACCCATTTGGTACATCCGGGCTCATGCCTGGCTCTGTTCTACAAATCGAGAAAACCGAAAGTTTCGATGTTTGATGTGGGGTTGCTCTAAACTAGAAGTTGTAACTGTAATTAACACAGGTATTGTGAAAATAGATTTAGTAGCTGCTCAAAGGTGAAGGCATACGTAGTGGTATCCGGTGTAAAAGGGTTGTCATTTGGAACAACCCCGATGTCCATCTTAGCTGCTACCGTGCGGAGCAAGCTTGTTGCGATGGTCTGTGATGGCTACGACTATTACGACTACCACCACATGGTAGGATCCACACGTGCTGTTTGTCCTTTCGATAGATGCCTCATCCTCCTACCCTAAATTCTACGATCGCAAATAACCCTAAACCCTAAACCCCTAAATTCTACACTTGCAATTAGCCCGAAACCCTAAACCCCTAAACTGTACAATCTCAATTAACCCTATGCCCTGAACCCCTAAACTCTACAATCGCAACTGACCCTATACCCTAAACCCCTGAACTCTACAATCGCAATTAACCCTATACCCTAAACTCTACACTCTACAATCGCAATTAACCCTAAACCCTAAACCCTTAAACTCTACAGTCGCAATAAACCCTACACAGTAAACTCTACAATCGCAATTAGCCGTATACCCTAAACCCTTAAACTCTACAATCGCAATTAACCCTATACCCTAAACCTCTACACTCTAAAATCGCAATGAACCCTGAAGCCTAAACCCTTAAACTCTACAATCGCAATTAACCCTGCACCCTAAACTCTACAATCGCAATTAACCCTAAACCCTAAACCCCTAAATTCTACACTTGCAATTAGCCCTAAACCCTAAACCCCTAAACTCTACACTTGCAATTAGCCCTATGCCCTAAACCCCTAAACTCTACAATCGCAATTAACCCTATACCCTAAGCCTCTACACTCTACAATCGCAATTAACCCTATACCCTAAACCTCTACACTCTACAATCGCAACTATATAACCCTAAACTCTAAACCCTTAAACTCTACAATCGCAATTAACCCTGCACCCCTGAACTCTACAATCGCAACCAACCCTAAGCCCTAAGCCTCTACACTCTACAATCGCAACTAACCCTATACCCTAAACTCTACACTCTACAATCGCAATTAACCCTAAACCCTAAACCCTTAAACTCTACAATCGCAATTAACCCTACACCCTTAAACTCTACAATCGCAATTAGCCCTATACCCTAAACCCTTAAACTCTACAATCGCATAACCCTAAACCCTAAACCCTTAAACTCTACAATCGCAATAAACCCTACACCGTAAACTCTACAATCGCAATTAGCCCTATACCTTAAACCCTTAAACTCTACAATCGCAATTAACCCTAAACCCTAAACCCCTAAGCCCCCTAAACCCTAAGCCCAGAACCTCTCAATGCCACAATCGCAACTGCAGCCCTCAGATCCGGGCTTAGGGTTTTGGGTTCTAGACTTCTTCACCTGCAGTCTACAAGCTAGACCTTACAAAGCACTCGGTGTACCGACGCCGAAAGCCTGACCCACAAATGTGGGCCTCTTTTTGGCAACATCTGGACTGACATGGAGACTTTGCAGCTCATGGAAACTTGGTGGTGAAGATTTTAGGGTTTAGGGTTTAGGGAGAGAGCGTTATTCCTTCCACTGGTAGCAGCGACGTTCATGGTAGGGTTTAGGGTTTAGGGTTTTCGGCTGCGTTCTGGCTTGCGTTTCAGCATCAAGAACCCTAATTCAGCCCAACACCCTCAATCACCAGAAACCGGGTTCAGGGGTTTGGGGTTTTAGAGCTTTAGGATTTAGGGTTCAGGGAGTAAGGCTTGGTTTGGGGTTTAGGACTTTCGGGTTTAGGGTTTAGGGTTAGTTAGGGCTTTAGGATTCGCACGGCCATGTGTTTGTCATGAACATGGGTATTGCAGTGAGCATGCTTATTGGTGCTGTCAGTATTCTGTGTACACTTCTTACCAGTATGCATCTGCTTACGACGAGTGGTTGACACCTGCCTTGGTGACGTGATTGTTCTTTTCACTGTTCTTGTAGTCGTGTGTGTAGCGGCTGCAGATGCTGCAGCTGTTGTTGCAGCCATGATTCATGATTCTTGATGCCGATGCCTTTGCTTTTGCTGTCGGCGCAGTTGTCTTCGTTCTTGTCAGTGCATGTGCCGATATGCCGCAGCCATGTTTCCCAGCTCGAGTGTCCGTTCAGAAGGACATGCTGGGATATGTCCTGATTTCATGCGTGTTTACGGCAGCTCGGTGCAACTTCAACGGCTTCAGATGCAACTTCAACGGCTTCAGATTTAAGGTTTACAAAGTGTACACGTATAAGAGGAGAAGAGTCAGCAACAGCAGAAATTTGAGTTGGGTTGGCGCCTTTTGAATTGATTCACAGTCGCAAAACGACTGAACAGGGCCAGAAAACAACTGCCAAAAGCAAACGCGCGGTATTGGACATTTACACGAAATCAGGGCCGTAGATCTCGGAAACACTGTACACAAAGGTTTGCATGATTCAACCTGGCGTTCAAGAGTCGAACCCACAGTGCGCCAAGAAGAGCCAAAGCCCGACCCCCTCAAAGCAGAAGCCCAAAGCCCCAAACGAGTAGTTCTCTAAATTAGGGACCCTTTTGGGGTCCTCTTTATAAGGGTGCCGTACTATATTGGGGACCTCAAAAGGGACCCTAATCTAGAGAACTACCCAAACGGCTTCAACCGGAGGGCAGAGGTTTGGCATCACACAGTAGCTAGGACCGTACATGCAAGGCGTTTGTGTGCAGGTAGCATCCTCTAACTCATCAGCGCTGTGCATAGAATGCTACCCCTTTGGTCAACATTCACTGATTAAGTGCAGTGGTTTTCTTCCACATTGCCGGCTCCGTTGTGTTGACTGTGCCCTTTGCTAGCTGCTTCGGCAAAGTAGTCCTCACGTTTGGAACTCGGGTTGCGTTGCACGGAAATCGCTTCCCAAATGAATTCCATGTGGCCCGAAGTCCCTCGAGGTGCATGCCAGTCAGACATGTCTTCCTAGCGCAGTCCCTCGCCACGAGCGCAAAAATTTGACGTCCCACGGCACCAGCTACCCCTTGGGTATCTGGAACGGACAAGCGAAGTGGCAGACGGCCACGCCGACGGCTGTTTTCCAGATTTTGGTAGAAGAGGTGCTTGGCTACAACGTCCACGTAGAGGTGTCCAATTCGGGCGTGGCCCAGCACGTTCTCTATGCACTGGCCGGCTGCGCAGAACCTACAGCAGATAACGACGATGAGAGAGGCTGCAGTGGGCAGAGGACTGCATTTCATGCAGCTGTTGGAGTGTACCTTACCAATGAGGTTGAGCCGCATTGGCAGCAGGCGCGGCATATGAATACTGTCACCTTGAACCCCTAAGTCCCCCAGACCTGCGCAGTGTCCTTGAACTCGGCAGTCTGTGAGGTGCAGCGGATGAGGATGGGAGGTATGCTGGAAGACTTATCTAGCCTGGGATTTCCATCCTACTCTGGGATATATGTGGATGGGCGCACGAAGGACTTGGCCGAGGATCACGAGCGACTATTCTTGGACGACTACAGGAGCTACGATTCAAAGTATCAGAATCCGAAGCACTGGTTCTCGAGTATTCGCGACATCAACACCTCGTCTCTCATACCGTGCAAGAGCTGGAAAGGTACCGTACCCCTTGGGCTTGAAACTTTTCTAAGGAACTTCGATACTCTGGAAGTCGATCTGGCTCTAGATTTCACAGGGCAAGAGGTCGTGCCATACTGCCCCGATGGTTACTGGTGGCTGTCGAACGCGTGCAGAAACAATCCGGCGGACTGTATTCCTTGCGTCACCGGCAGCTCTCTGAACTATGTGTACGATGCTGACGAGGTTCCTTCTGAGTGTTCTGAGTCCCAACCTGGAGCCTTAAAGCCTTCAAACAACACAGCACACTGTCCTTGTCTAAGCCTGCAAGTGGAAGGTGATGATCAAGGCTACTACCTGGAACATGTCTCTGGCACTGGCCACAGTCGACGGGCACTCTGCAGGGACCGACTTCGAGAAGCTGGTTACAGAACACAGGAGCTATCGCAGGGTTTAGGGTTTGGGTTTAGGGTTTAGGGTCATTTAGGGTTTGGGGTTTAGGGTTTAGGGTGTGGTTACGTCATGGGTGCTCGCTGGTGTGTGCACACCCAGGCCGCTCGCACCTGTGCGTAGCAGACAGCCCACCCCAAGACCACCCGAAGTTCAAGCATTTTAGGGTTTAGTTCTAAAGTCTTCCAGGCATCCCA